TCATATCTTATTACTTCTAAGATGAAGCTCAGAAAGTTTGTGAATGAGGTTTATCTAACCTGGTGCCTGCAATGCAGCAGGCTCATTGCGCAAAGCAGTCTCTTTCAGTTATCTCCTTAAATAGATTAAAGTAAAATTACAGAATCGTTTAGATTAGTTTGTGATGTGCTCACTATGAACTTCTTCCTGGTAGGTATCATAGAAAAATTAATATTAAATTATTTGATCCCTAAAATACTTACTTTGGGGGCTCATGTTGTCCTCTAGCAATTTGCTTGCAAAGCTTTGGTAAGCCAGAAGGCTTTTCATCTGCTTAATCTACTTTGCTTACAACCTGTGCTGATTGAAATGGATAAGTTGCTGTGAGATCATCAACACTGATTAAAAATGAAACTGATTATCTTGAAATATGCTGAAACCTGTATCCTCCCAGTATCCAGGGGAAAGTAAAAGTTTGTTTAGCTTTGATATTCAAAGAGCTTCAGTCCTTCAAAGAGACATTCCTCTTTCTTGGAGGAGGAGCAGGAGGAAGCCAACCAGCAGAATGTCAGAAAGAAAGAACACACACACACGGACATTGAAAAGCTTTGAAGAATAGTAGATGAGGCTGAACTGTAAGGTTTTCATTTAGCCCTTAGTTTTTAGGGAAGAAATTTCTAATACTTACCTGAAAGATGTGTTGGGATTAGTCACATACTTTCTAGGATGACGCACTCTTTAGGCTGCTGTAGCCTCAGTCTTAGACGTTACCTCTCAATAACTTAACAGGTGACTGTCATCCTTTGCCCCTATTTCCTTACTCCTTTTCTTCCTCTCTTGGCCTCTTTCACTCAAGAAAATATAAGCAAGTGTGTTTGCTTCAAGTCTTTAAGAAAACTTTAAGACTATTTTCTACTACTCTGAAGCATTAGAGATGGAGAAACCCCCAAGCTTGCAGAGGAGCACTGGAAGCACACAAGAGTTACTTGAGCATTTACTTGCAGTGACTTGTTTGCTCCCAGACATTAATTACATTGTAATTGATACATATACACACAATAACTTTTTGATAAATCAAAGAATTATAGTAACAGTTCCAGAGTCATGGGATGCACCCACTTATATGTCAAAACACTCCTTTCCTTGTGAGTGTTTTAATTTAGTGGTAACAAATCTGCTCTTGCCACATATGTCTGCACACTGAAACCCAGTCTTATGTCAAATGACATGGTATCTCTTATGATTTCATTTTAGAGATTCTCTTAGGGCTTGAAAATTGATGCCAGATTAAACAGTAGTGGGATTTTGGAGAAAAAAAAGGGGGACTAGAGTAATCTCTGGCACTGTCGTATGTTGCAGATTACTTTGAATTCCATCAAATGTTTACATCATCTCTGGTAAACTCATTAATGAAGTATCTGCTGAATACAGATTCAAGTAATCCCTCTCAAAGGAGAGTTTTCAGTTTCTGTGTGAGAAAGAAGGGGAGAAACTTGTAAGCTGAGGGAATGTAAATGTAAGGATATCTAAATAATATATATAGTATCAAAAATAATGTATATAAATAATGTATTTTTCCTCAAAAGCTCTAAATGAAAACTCTTTCTGGACTACAGCAAGTACAAGTATTTTTGGGAAGAGTGGCTAATCTATATATGAACAAGTAGCTGTACCTGGTTTTGAGAAGGTTAGAAATGCAGAAAATATTATTCTGAAGTTATAGATTCTCACAAGAATGATTCAGAAATAAAACACAGTGGAAATTATTGTAAGCAACATGGTCCAATTTATGTTGGTCTCGGTGAAACAATTTTTGATTATCATGGCTGTTCATGTCTTTAGCTAGAAGATGGATGTATTAAAAATAAAATGGTTCTGTTCTTTCTAGGAAGAATTAATAATGAATAATTAATTTTATGTGCTGATGAAATGTAAATACTTTAAACAAAAAAGATCAAGATACAATTATATCTTATGATATTACAGTGTAAGGCAAGTTTTCTTTCCTGAAACATTTTCCTAGATACATTTCTCTGATATAGTATCAGACCAGCCTGATATTGTACAACCATTTGATGTCCACTTCTTAAATAGCTATTTTCCCTCTTTGCTGTGCCTATACAGCTTTGCACCATTTATCAAGAAATACTTTTTAATCAAGGTAAAAAATAAAGTAGCCATCCAGCTTGTAAACACACATCCCCCAATAATTTTCCTCTGTTTAGTGAAGTTAAGCAGAATTGGAATTGTAGTGGGTATTGATTAACTTCTTCCTGCACTAAAACTGCAGTGCTGCCAAATGTGCATTACACAGTCAGCAGGGAACATCAAGGGGGAAGATTTGTGCTGCTGGTTCACAAGAGGACTGGGAATGGTCCTTCAGGCTCTGGTGACCTCAGTTGTGGGTGGGATGGCTGATCCTGTCTTTGGCAGTGCTCCATACCTTTGTAGTTCTCTCGCTGTCCTCTTAACCGTGTACATGCTTAGCTTAGTTAAAGCTAAGCATGATTTGTGTTGGTACCTGCTCACACTGAGCTATGATCAAACTTTCAAAACATTGATTTTGCTGCAAGGAATATACTCTTCCTTATGACTTTTTTTAAAGGTAAAATCTAACATATTTCTCCTGATGTGAATTTTGGGGGAAAAAGCTCAGAAACATTAAACAGAAATGCCATGTTCCTCTTTGAAGGAGTACTTCTTTCTCAAGGACTTAATTATGCAAGCACATTATGCCCTGTGAGAGGCTATTGCTACTTGATTAGTTACTTCCCTGTTTGCTGGCCTGGGCTGGTGGTGAGGGATATTTTGGGATCCTGCACACCATGGGAAGAGCAGTAATTGTTGAACTGCGATATGATTTGTGTCTATGCTTTTGGGCAATTCAGGCTGTGTGCTTCCCCAGTTTCTACTAGGGCTGAAAGGCTGCTGGCTGGCTTTGGTTGTATTTGCAGACAAAAGCAGTCTTCTACAGGGCAGGGTGCATTAGGTGCACACCTAAGTATAAATAATGAATTCTTGTTTTTATTTTTCTTATATAGATTTGTTCGGACCGTGCTGCCATTTTCTCAGGAGTTTCAGCGTGATAAGCAGCCTAATGCACAGCCACAGTATCTCTATGGATCAAAGGTTGGATTTGATTCCCTTTATCTTTATGGTTTGCTCATGTTTAATGGTATCTTTTTAATTATAGAAACTATGGTATGTGAAAGTTATTAGAAATTGACTGAAATACATTTTGTGTATTTCAAATTGAATTTGTATGTTTTAAATTGAATATACACTTTTTAAAGACTCCTTGAAGCTCACCCTTTGTTTCAGCATTGGTTAGTTTGATGTGCAATTGATTAGTCTGATGTGTAGTCTTATCTGACAAAGCTAAAAATAAGCCCTTCTCTCAACCACCTTGCATTGTTCAGTTGCTAACAGTGGCAGAGCAAACTCAAAATAAAGATTAATTACTCATTGGTTACTCATCTGGTGAAGTGAGAACAAAAGCCCATCTTGGGTGCAGCCCTGCCTTGTGATGACAGAAGAAAAGGGAATAGATAGAAAAACTGTTTCAGATGTTATCTGACTTAAGAGGAATATAGATTCTGACCATCTTAAACTATCAGATACCTAACTTCTTCAATTATTTTTTTTTTAATGTAGTGTTTCTTTGTACTCTACAACCCCAGAGCTGCAAACTCATTGTGATGAACTTGGTGTCTTGGTCATCTCATCTTCTGTATTCATTTCCTGCTTTGCAGTTAGGTGGGCTGGGAAGGTTTGTGCAAGTTTTCAGTGGAAGGGTACGTGATGTGCAGTCACATACTCTGTCCCTGGGGCAATCCCCAATGCTGAGGTTGGAAAGGAGCTCTTGTGGGTGACAGCTTGGAAGAGTGTTTGACACAAGAGAACAGGTGTGGGCTACCCAAGTGAGGAAAGTTAGCTTGCTCTCACAGGACCAATGCTATGCTCATGTGTAAGAGACTTGTTCTCCCTGATCACTGCAGATTTATTTTCTTATTCTTCAGAATTATTGTTTGTGTGTTAATGGCAGTTAAAGACATAGTGCATTAACATATATTTACATTTTTAATATCTAGTCAGAAATATTGATCTACTTCAAACTGCGCTAAAAACCATCAGTGGTCTCTTCAGCAAATCATTTGGGACTATATGACAAGGTGTCACTCTAAATTTTGCAATGTTTTCTTGACTATCAGGGTGCCAAGCTAAAGTATGAAAAAGATAAATGAAATAAATAAGGATTAAATTAGAGGATGGACAATAAAAAAGCTTAAAATTATTTATTATTATTTAAAATGATTTAAAATATGTACTTAATTATACATCTAATTTATGCAAGTGTGCTGTAACTGTTATGGGTTACTCTCAATATCTACCTCCTACTTAGGCATGAACATAATTAGTCCTTGTCTTACTCTTATTTTCTACACATCATATCATAGATGTATAGTGCAATTTCAACCCAGTAATCTAGATTTTGGGATATGTCAGGAGTTACAAATTTCAGTGCTAAAATATCTGCTGCATTTGTAAAATGTAAAGGAGGTAGAAAAGGATTCACATGTTTTAATGCGCATGTAGCAGCTGACTGTCGGCTCCTGTAAATAATGTTTTATGTAATTGTTCTCCAAAAAGGAACAGTAAATTATAGGAAAGTGGTATTTTCTTTCATTAGAGTTATTGTGTTCCTTACTATTTTAGTAACTGACCAGATGTAGCATAGAGCAAAAACCTGAATTTCATAGAGATTGCTAACTTAATTTATCTAAGTGATGATGCAGTGGGGTGAGTGACAGAAGATTAACTGGGGGGCACTTTTTTGATCAGTCAGGTTACATTATTAAAATGAGTTTAGTAATCTTCACACTGAGAGCTATACATTTTCAGAATTCTTGATTATTTTTCTATATAAGCAGCAACAATCAAGCCGAGGGGTCTTACTTGCATTTTTGGGGCAAATTTCATAACTGGATAGGCTTATATTAGAAAATACTCATGACTCTCTCTAATTTTAAATTTTAACAAGAGTATATTTTTATTCTTGAGTTGAATTTGTTTTGAAATTCAGGATCTCTGAGTGGAGTTTTTAACATTTCTACTTTATTATAGGCAGTAACAGATAGGAATTCTTACATTATAGAGGCTTCGCTACTACAGCAGTAACTAAAGAAATTTTTTGTTTGTATCTCAAAGTATTCACATATTCCCAGATATTTCTAAATGGATCAAAGCATCTGGTCTGTATTAATGTGTCTTGATACTTAGCATAGAGAGTTGTAGTAACATTCTCTTTGGCAACTCAAGTTTTCTGAGTGATATCTTCATGTAATTAGCCAAACAAAAACCCACAGATACAACTTCCTTCTTCTGGTTGATGTGGAAGCAGAGCTGTCAGGTGGGAAGGAGCCAGCCTACAGAAGCTCATTAGCCTTTTAAGTGAGCTGGATTATTTTAAAAGTTTGGTTGAGCATGGTCACTGAAATCCCTTTACTCAGTTACAGTACGTGTAGGATTAATGATATTAATATTAGCAGGTTGGAATTTGGCAACATTGGGTGAATGCATGAAATATTTTATAATATACATATAAGAAAGTATCTTTCCTGGGGACTTGAACTAACTTTCTGTTAAGTACTTGGTTTTATAGACATTGTGTAGACCTGAATTGAAAGGCTTTCTTTATGTCTTAGACAACATTTTCCAGATATTGTCATGGTTTTTTTGTCTCCGGCACCTTTGTAGATATATTTTGTGAAAAATACGTGTTTGAAAGGTACTTCTCACTGTGAATATAATGATTTTTATCTACTGCATGTGCACAAATTAAAGTCAGTTTGCACTGTGTTGCAACCTGCTATCAGTTTGGTAATCACTTAGAATGTTTGCCGCATACTCGATGACTGTTGAGTGGAGAATTACCAAATCTAATACAGAATTGCCTGAATGAACCTGAATTAATCTGTAATAAAACTTTCTCAGCAAGAAACAAAGCATGCAGCTCTGTGGGCATGTGGTGATATGAGTTTTTCAGAACTAGAGCAGAAAACAGATGACACTCTGCATGAATTGCTCATTTGCAGCAGGTGTGAGATGGTCCATTGCTTGTGAGATGATATAAATGTTTATCTTAGTAGTGCACAGTAAACTCTGTGGGTGGAATGGTTTTATATTTAGAGAAGGTAAATCCCTTGGGAAGCACTACCATGGTAGCTCTTTGCTTTCTATTGGATGTCTTTCTATTTGCAGTTGGATGTAGGCATGTCTTTTGGTTGTGTGTGTTTGTATATAAATAAGAAAATGCAGTAGGTGAATTGCCTAGAAACTGCTTTAAGGAGAAATGCTCCTTGTTCTCAGTGTGGCATGTACATGTGTATATAACATAAATGTGTGTCTGTATATGTATTGCACTGCCTTAAAACCCACATAAAGAAATGGACATGCAGAGAAGTAAACAGGTTTCCAAGAGCCCAAGATGTTGGCAGAGATTGACTGTGTCTCTTGGCCTCATCCCATTAATATTAAAATTATCTTTTCTTGATGAAAACCTAATCAGAGAAGTGTTACTGTCAATTTGATTGCAAGATAATTTTAAAGCATTTTCTCTGTCCTCGCCACCCAGGCACCCCTTTATGGCACTAAACCTGTTGTGCTGGCTTCATGTTCTGATGAGGGTTCTTGAAATAGTGCCTATTTCATGTAACATTGTCATTTGAAACAGCAGTGAGCTGTTATTCTCACAGTTTGTTTGAGACTGACGTGCAAGACAAAGGAAAACGTGTCAGCTGGAGGAAGTGCTCTGAGGCAGGTGGAGAACACGTTATTGCTAACTTCACACAATAAAAATGCCTTTTGAAGTGTTTTCTGAAAGTCATACTCGCCCCCGTTCAGCAAGTGCTCTGTGTGTCATGCTTGTCCTACTCAAAAAAAAAAAAAAGAAAGATTCATCACACTTATGCCAGCTTCTCCTTAGCACTCAGAGTCGATGCATTTCACAAGTCGTGGGAATTGTTGTCAAAATAGAGTAGCTGAAAAGATCCGCTACCTGCTGTGAAATATTCATGGGGAGCTCTCTTGCCAAAATTGTACCCCCCGTTAGCTTCCAGGGTGGAGGGGGATGGCAGCTGCCCAGGCAGCAGCTCTCCAGCCTTCACTGGTGCAACCAAGCTGTGTCAGAGAGAGCTGACTTCACACGTACTTTAGTACCAAGAGCAATTAACTGCCTGCACTCGCTGTGCACCTTTTGTTTTTTAGGCATAATATGCAGCAATACTAAGATTTATTATGTTTTTATGGAACACAAACGCACTTATGAGGTTTAAAACAGGGTGACTTACACATGTAAATCAGACAACACTTGTCACTAGTGAGGGTGAACAGATTTCTGTCCAAAGGACCTTGGCACTTTGCCATGAAGCTCAAGGCAGAGTGAGATGATCAGGTTTTCTTGTTACAGAAATAAAATGCATTTTAGCATGTTTTTAGTGTTTTGCCCCCTTCATCACACAAAATGTACTGTGCAATTGGAAAGAAATTTGCAGCTGATTAACGCATGTTATCATTAAAACTGAAAGGGAAGGGGAAAAGGAAGGGCCGGGAGCTGCATTTCTGGATTCCATTTCCTCTGCAGGGAGTCTCTGGCCCATGGAGCAGAAGATGGCTTGTGGTGGGAGCAGAAGAGTGCAAAATGCAATAGCCCAGGATATTTCCTTAATTAGACGTGTCCTTACTAAGTCTCTATCTTCCATGTATTTAGACTGAGGGGAAATGAGAGGATACAGTTAAAAACCTGATGAGTTTATCTTAGATCATGAGATTGACCTCAGTGCAGAGGGGAGGGATGGGCAACACCATGGGCAGTGCAGTGTGTTGTCTGAGTATAGTACTGCTTATAGTAGTGTGTGTTTTGGGAAGCAGCTGGGATTGTTAGGGTAAAGCTCACACTGGCAAACCACTGCACTCTGTGTGTATGTTCCAGTTGCCTGTAGTGTAGCAGTCTGGGTTGCCATCTGAAAACTCCTACTCAGTTTTGTATATGCTAGTTAACAAAAATTATTTTGGTCACTTTTGGCTACTTTTTATATTTGTTTGCTGTTTTAGGCTAAAGAAAAGCAATGAAAATTCCCCTTGAAATGTAAACCAAATACTTGCTACATGCCTAATTTTAAATAAGGGTGGGTGGGTGAAGTGCTCACTTCTTGGGCATGTGAACCTTTGCATACAGGCTGTTGGAAAGGGGTGTGAAATCAGAGGTACAGCCAGAAGTGCTGCAGTGAGCAGTCAGAGCTCCCTGTTGTGAGCACCAATGTGTTTGAAGTAGCTGGGGTACCCCACGTGGCAAAAACCTTTCTAATTTATAGCAGAGCACTGTCCTGTCACTGGGACTCGCTCCTGACTTTTTGAAGATGTCACCATGGGCTCATTGCACACTGAGGGATTCTCTATGATTGTGGCCAGCTGGATGCCACCCGGATGCTTTTCCTCAGCGTCCTGTGTGTGCTGTCTCTGCCTGCTGAGCTCATCCGAGGCGTGGGCCATGCTTTTGGTCCATGGCCCCTCAGGCTCCCGCTTGGAGCTGCCGCCCCGCTCTTGCAGGCGCTGGTGTCTCCTGCGGCAGAGGAGGTGCAGGCAGCCGTAGAGCAGCACGGCGGCGATGATGAGGAGCAGCACACCGCTGGTGAGCCAGATGCCCAGAGCCAGCTCTTTCTTGGTGCTGCTCGCCGACACCGGGTCTCGTTCCAGCGTGTTGAAAACTCTGCACTGGTCGCTGGAGGGGTTTGCAGACTGGCAGGTCACGCACATGATGTACGTCGTCAGGGGAGTCAGGTTTTCAACCACAAAGGAGGAGCGAGTGGTGGGCACCCTCTCTTCCCTCTGGAAGCTCTTTCTGGAGTAGCTGGACAGCATGCTGTTCCAGTTAGGGTGGTACATGATGCTGTAAAAGCTGTCGACACAACTGGCCATTTTTGGCCAAATTACCATTGCTGTGTTTCCTGTGATGTTTTGGATGGTTATTCCCATCAGGATGTTTTTTGGGAGGTTTTTTCTCTCCTGATGCTGATCTCCCTGTGGAAAGGGAAGGTGTTCTTTGGAGAAGCTGCAGCACTGAAGATGTCGTTTGGATCTTAATCGTAGTGCTCTGTAATGTAGGAATGGAGTTTGTTAGGAAAGTATGCTCTCATCTTAGGCACTGCAGTGTAAAAATGGGAATGAAAGTTCATAAATTCTGGCATGTTTTAAAATGTGTATTTCTCTTCCAAGTAAAAGTACAAAGATAAAGATAAACTTAGAGAAGTTCAACCAGAGCTGTTGCCTGTACAAGTGACTGGTTGTATCTTGAGAGATGGTGAATTTTTTCAGAGTTTACAATTGGGGAATCACTTCCTTTCACCTTTTTTTTCCCAAGTGATTGTAAAAAATGCAGCAGGTGTTTTTTTCCTCTAGTCTGTGTATCTTGCCTTTTATGTTAAGTGGCAAGAGGGGTTGGCAGGAGTGGATATTGAGGAATAATTTCCTCTACCATTCACAAGTCTTTATTTTTGCTAGTCGCATTTAGCTGAAGAACAAAAGAGTATGTGGAAATCTGACTACATATTATTTTGTCTCCAATATCTTATGTTAGTTTCTTATTCACAAGTTCACATAGGAACACCTTCCCTATGAAGACCGGCTGAGAGAACTGGGGCTGTTCAGCCTGGAGAAGAGAAGGCTCCAGGGAGATCTTGCAGCACCTTCTGGTATCTAGATACAGCAATACAGCTGGAGAGGGGCTTTTTATACAGGCAGATATTGATAGGATGAGGAGGAGTGACTTTAAGCTCAAAGAGGGTATATTTAAATTAGATATTATGAAGGAATTCTTTGCTGTGAGGGCAGTGAGGCAGTGGAATGGGCTGCCCAGAGAAGCTGTGGAAGCTGTCCCTGCCTGTGGCAGGGGTGTTGGAGCTAGGTGACCTTTAAGCCAGACTGCTGTGTGACTCTGTGGTACCCTCTGTGTTAGCTGCTAAGTTGCACATCTGTAACCACTGCAGCCACACTGCGGCACTGGCTGTGAGCACTGTACATTGGTGGTATCAGTGTCACAGTAGTGAGCCTTGATGCTAGTCAGCCTCTTGGAAAAGCTTTGTCAAGCTTAGTGAAATACAGCTTTCACTGTAGCCTACCTTTTGGATAAATAGTGGGGATTTTTAAAAATTACTAATGCTCTTTGCTGTTTTAAGTCATTTTATGTAATCCCATAGTCTGCCTGCCCTGAATTTATACTCCTCCTCGTCCTCAATTCAAATTAGAAAATCTGCCAGTATTTTGAGATTCTCAGTATGTGTAACCACTCTAAATAGTGAAAGGAAAACACCTCTTTTCTTCAATTTCTCTAAACACATCTGTTAAAGAATATATAATAACAACCAGTGGATATTTTCATTTGTTTGGCTTGGGTTTTATGCTTTTACTGTCATGATGGTAACTTTTGAAAAAGAGCTTACCTCAGCAATTTAATCTGATCCTTTAGTTTGATTGTCAGTTTCCAGTGGCACTCGTGGAAGCTTTTTTCCACTTTGAAAGTTTCTCACTTTTTTTATGACTATAAATGCCCATGACAGTAACACTGTATTTCATTGTTTATGACTTTGTTGTGATAATTAAATATATTTTTTTAAGATCAAGTTTAAAATGTTACATTTCCTGGATAAGTAACAACTAATTATTGAAAATTCTCCTGAAGAAGAAAGATTGTGAGATTTGCTCATAACATATTCTGAAATTATTCTGTAGTACTAGTATTTTATACTAGATAGGAGACTGGGAAAATGTATATTTTATAGGATATTTTTCATGGGATTTAGATAGTGACACTACATGAATAGTAAGAATTCTGTGCCTGTTTATATATGAAAATTGTTGCTCAAGGGTTTTGGATTCTACTTACTGAGAAGTGGGAAAAAAAATGTATGTTTATTTTCATGACAATATAAAAGCATGGATATGACTGATCTGGGGAGATGCTGCTTTTCTAATTCTGTGGTAAAGACACCCTTTTTAATACAGCAACAAGATAAAGGAACTGAGTTTGCTATCAGATAAACTTAACAAACAGACATGTTTTGGCATCTACCCAGCTACTGCAGATATTAAAATAGGGTGCATTAGTGAGATCAGTTACCTTCTCTTTAACTGGTAGCTCCCTATTACTTAAAATCATAATCTATATCTATTATAATCTAGTGGTTTTTTAGAACACTTTTAACACAGCCTAGGAACAATAGTTTCAACAGTTTAATCCTCGTAGCATTTTGTAAGTAGAATGAACTATAATTAAATAACAATAATACATTTCCATTGTTTCAAACCATCAGTTATTAGAAAACACACAATTACTGACATGTAAATGTTTGGAGAAGCCATCTGATGTTTTATGGATCATAAAGTCAGTACTTACCGTCGCTCCCTGATGGAAATTCCAGAACAGAATTTCTTTATGGCGATGCTGCTGTGAAAATGTTACTAACACCACTTTTTTTGTATCCCATTCTATATTAATTATTTCCTGACTGATGTCTGTTTGCCAGTTTGCTTTTTCTTCTCCTCAGATTCTCTGGACTGAATTCTCATTGCCTGGTGATTTCAGTTTTTTTCTCTGATGCTGCTGGTGGCATGGTTTCTTTGTCTCTTCCACTTAAATTCCTGCAAGAGCACATCTTGTCTAAAGATGCTGTTGCTTTGCTTTTCAAAGACCTCACAGGAGAAGAAAATGATGTCTTTTCCCCCCTCTCTTGCTTGCCTCCCCTTGGCAGTATGCAGCCTGAGCATCCCTGTTATATACTCTTGTGTGTGGACCAGTGATGCTGTGAGTGATTAATGTTAGCACTTTGATGACATCAGCAACTAACAACTCTCTCCTTTTTTTTTTTTTCAATCTAAGTAGGGGAGGGAGCAAGTATAGCTTAAAAAATAATGAACAGCAACTTCCCTTCCCTCCCTTTCCACCTCAACCTCCCTCTAGTTAGTGGCTTCTTCCCTAAGGATTTTATGCTTTTGTGTCTCAGTGTGGAGGGGGAAGTGGTGTTAGTATGTAATGTTTTTTTCTAAATTCCTTGTTACAGTTTAGAAAGATCCACTAATCCAACGTTTACAGGTGCACTGCAAATTTTACGTACTTCCCCTGAGGTTTATATGAAAGATATATTTTTAGATTGGCTGGCTTCCTATTGTTTTGTATTGGCAAGTTTTTAAAATACAAATATCATGTTTTTGGGGCTTGCTTTTCTGTGACAAATTCCTGCTGTGTGAAGAGAGATTCTCTCCCCTTAACCTCATGGCAGTAAAAGGCTTTATCCCACTAAAATAAAATTCTCCTTTTGCTGTAGCTGAAATAGATAGTTCTGACATGTCTGTTGTAGGAGACTTACCTGATTGGAAACATCAAAACCAAAAAATGAAATCTCATCTTTTAGGGGTGGTTGTATAAATCCTTAGTTTATCAGGACATTCATCTGCACATATGTTCTTAAGGTTTTACCAGTCCTCGTGCTGTCTTTGCCCTAGACCTCATTTTTGTCTGCAGAGAGCTATGGAAATGCACGGGTTGTAGTGGAGGGATACAGCTTTAGGCTGTGCCCTGCTGGGACTCATTTGGAGTTTGGCCTTTAAGCCAGCTCTGATGTAACAGCAGGACTGTATTATGTACTAGGATTCTAATAGTTATTCAAGTGTCTATTTTAGTTTGCATTTAGAATTTTTAAGTTTCTAAGACCTCAGCTGGAAACTGGTGTTTATATAGAGATATAAAACATAAATAAAAATGTGCATATTCTGTTCTGATTGCGTCAAAAGATGGTTTTTAAGTCCTTTTATGAGAATAAAGTCCTTCCGGAGCTTGGTAGAGTTTTCTAAATTCCAACTAGCTTAATGCCATGTGATTACAGTACCTGGTGTTGACTTGCATGGGTAGTTAGGGCAGGATCTGGATTGAAGGGAATGTTCTTCCTGGAAAAGAAGAAAAAAAAAAAACCTGTTACAGCTGTGTGTGAAGTTGAAAGTTTAACAGTATGCTGTTTTCTGTGTGTGTTTTAGAGAGAAGGAAAATTCAAAAAACTGAAGGAAACACAACAGTCCCTTCTGTATGAAGGGTGGCCAGGATTCCTGCTAAAATTAATTTCAGGGTATTAGGAGAACAACCCGCTTGCAGAAATGGAGGATGCTAAGTTAGCCAACCTCTAATCTGCAGCTTCAGCAACAAGTTCCTAAATCCTCACATCAGTCTGTACAGCTGTGTTCATGTTCATGGTAGTAAACATGACTATGGCAAAGCACCTGGTCCTATTTATACAAGTGTTGAAGAATTTCTATGAGGTTGCATCCCAGACTTAGATTTGCTTTGATCTTGTGTACAGCACAGGGGTTTGAAAAAGAAAGATCCTTGTTAATTAGCTGCAGAGAGCAGTAGCTGCAGAAGGCTTTTCTTTTTTTGTTGTTGTAGTTGACTACTCAGAGACTTAAAACAGCTATTATGAACAGAAAATTGAACTAATTTCTTTCAAGATATTTTGCACATAAAATAGAAAATAGAGGAATAGAAGCTGTGCTTTAAATTCAGGGATCTGGACATGGCATTGACTACTTTTACCCCTTTATGCTTGTGTAAATAGAAAAGTAAAAAAGAAAGTGTTTGTGGCTTTATAAATGGTAAATAGAAGATGTCTGCTTGAAAAAAAAGTGCTCACTAATTTGTCTTGCTGATAGATTTAAGTTCCTGCCTTAAGAGAAACTGGAAAAGAGAAATTGCCTATTTAAACCTCTTTCAGAGACAGTGAGATACAAACGTTTTATTTCAGTTTTAATGTGCTTTGAAATGACATTTAAATTACATTATTATTGCGATAGAGGAAGAAATTTTCATTAATCATATCTGTTTTCTTGTTTTAGGCATTGAATTTGGCATATTCCAGCATTTACAGCAACTACAGGAATTTTGTTGGTCCCCCCCACTTTAAAGTCATCTGTAGACTTCTTGGATATCAGGGCATTGCTGTGGTGATGGAGGAGTTGCTGAAAGTTGTCAAGAGCCTGGTATGCTAATTGACCTTATTTTTCTGCTAGTTCAAATGGTTTCTTAGAGGAAATGTCTCAGGAAAAACAAAGTGAAATTGAGATCCTGGAAAAAAATAATTAAAATAACTTCCATGGAAATTTGATATAAGCTGTGCTTGACAGTGCTCAATGTCTTGTGTGAGCAATAGAAATAAGTGCCTCGGTGCCCTCAGGAGTGTTTTGAAAACTTTGGATTCTTCAATGGAGGTTCATGCAATTTGTGGTGACCTGAGCTGTTAGGGCCTAGGTAGGCTCTGGAAAAGTATGAGTATTTTAAATGAGTTGATTACAACTTAAAGACCATACTGTACATTCACTTCCTTGATATTTTTTGAGAACAGCTGTAGTGTGCTTTCTGCCTGGCACCTAACTTCAGGGCTCTCATTAATGACATCACTGATTGATGACTCTTTAACAACAGGAGTTTAACCTCTGTGCTTGATTAGCAGTGCTGCTCAGGCCAGCTTTGAAGACATTATCCACACAGCCTGGTATCCTGGGTGTCTTTCTAACTGGGAGGAGGCTGAGGTGCTGGCTGTTTGCTATACTATTAGAACCTACATATACAGCCACAGTGCCTTGCAGTTAATTTAAGCCAAAGAAATTATATTTTCCTCCCTGTTGTTTGTAGGAGCCTGCTGCCAAAATAATCCAACTGTACCAGGGAAAGATGTGGTATTCATAATTGTACTTCAGGCACTTGACACATTTGGCAGTTTGTTTACAGTAATTCCCACAATGTTCTAAGTACATTTCTGATGTTCTAGAAAGGCTGAATCCTGCTTGAGAAGATGCTGTAATTTAATCTTCAGGGAGAGAGGAAGACACTCCTATTTTTCAGGGTTTGAGTGTCAACTATTAGTTTGCTGTGTTTTATGAGAGGGTTGTTTTTATAACTTAGTGGTAAATTGTCTCAATTCATTAAAGGTGGCATTGAACACTTGGTCACTTATAAAGAAGGTTAAAAGGCCTGGGTAGGGTGTCCTGCCAATGCCTGATGCAGATGCTCAGATGTAGGGGGACAGATAAGGGAGAGGTGTCTAGTGGTTGGAAGACAGGCTGTGACTGCAGGCTGGGACTGTCTCAGCTGGTATGTCCAGAAGAACCAGTTTGGGCTGTTGCCACCATTCCTAATCATTAGGGCTTTTTTCATGTTGCTTTTGAACACATTCAGATGCTTTTTGAATGGTTTTTACAGCATTCAGATACAGCTTTTTAACCAAAAACCTAAAAGTTAGTTAGACCATAAAGAGTCTATAAGGGAAAAACATGTTTTCCTTTTTTTACCCTCCTGGCCTTGGCTGTTGTACCACTCCTCTTGTAGCAAAGAGGGCTAATGCCATGTGAACTCTTTAAATTTGAAAAAGTTGCCTTTTAAAATATGCTGACTGGCAGAATTAAATGCAAGATTTTTAGAGCTGCTTCAGGTCATGTATAGTTTGAATGCAGTTTGTTGTAAAGTTTTGTAGTTCAACAGCACTGACATGTTTGCATACATCTGTTTTCTCTTAGTTACAAGGGACCATTCTTCAGTATGTCAAGACCCTAATGGAAGTGATGCCTAAGATCTGTAGGTTACCAAGACATGAGTATGGCTCTCCAGGTTAGTTTGTGTTTGATGTTACCTTCGCAGCCTTACTAAGATGATACTAGCCACTATCTTCTGAATTTTTGTATCTGTCTTTCCCTCCCTCCTTTTTCTCCTGATAATCAGATTTTAGCCTGGCTTTACTTTATTTTTTTTTTCCCTTCAAAAGAATCATTGAATGCTATGCTTTCTGAAAGTACTTAATGAAGTTTTAAGACTTCTATAAGTAGGGCAAAAGGATGACAATCTGTATAGAGGCTGCCTCATGACATAATTGATCTTGAGCTGGGATGTCCACAATAGTTTCTGTTTCTTGTCTTTCTCATAAGTGTGTTGAGCTTTTGCCTCAGCAAGTTAGCCTCTCACATTTTTTCTGTTTAAATGTCTAATTTAGTAACCCAGTTCTCTGGAACAGTCTCTTTTCCCTTTTCCTTTGCCCTCACCAACTGCAGGATAAAAGGAGTGATACTGCTGGGAGGTAAACTGGTCCTGCCAGAATAGTTATGTCTGAGACTTGTGTGGGGTGCATGTTAGCCTCTCAACAGGAGGTGTGACAGTTGCAGAACAAGAAATGGCATTGAAAGCTGCTTGCCACTGTGGAGAAATAATTGGCTAATTAGTATTTATCACATTGTTCACTGAAATTCTGAATCTGCTTTCTCCTTCAAAATATTCCTCCTTCACAACTTCTAATTAACACAAATTAGTCCTTCCATGTGCCACCCACCTCTGAGTTTATTTTTCCAGAGTCACTTAGTTTTATTAAATGCCACTCCAACTGGAATGAGGTTGGGTTTTTTCTGCTTCCCACAGCTTGCTTGACGTTCATTACCAATGTTAAACGAAATTGAGTGTTTCCTTCCTGTTTTTCTCTCTGGAGCACAGGGATGGATGAATCATGGTAGTTAGGAGTATAAAAATAATCTCTCTGAGGCTTTTAGCCATTCATTAAGGTCTGACCACAAAAGCAGTAGGTATTCTCAAATATAGATAATGCATCACCAGGATCTGTGATGCTACACGTGACATTAGGAAGCTTGCCAGAAATCCTCACCTGTAAGGGCTAAATATTTGGCAGGAGATGCCTAGGGATTTCAGGATAAACCTTTCTCTTAAAGTTGAAAGACAATCCATCCTATAGGAAAGGCAGAACTTTACTGGTGCAATGGTAACAAACTACTTATTTACTCTTCCAAAAGAAATGCTGT